AAACACATGAACTATTTGAATCACCTACTTTCATGGAGAGATGGCGATTTCAGAAGAAGGAGATATATGTATGTGTGAAAATAAATGTTTTTCTAGTATGTTAGTTGATGACCATTAAAAACAGCGCTGCTAAAAACAATTATACTGAACGATTAAATTTTGAGAGACCTGACAACTTCATATGTGATTTGGATTAGTAGATTTTTGATCGAATTATCAAATGAAGTATGTAGTATATTCTATCAAATCGTTAATGAACCAATAAATATATCCTGAAACGTTAATTTTGTAATGTTTGCAATAAAACTGAATATCCAGAGAACATTTGCTAATTAAATTTCAATGGACATTTCGTATCATTATTTACCTATATATTAATTATTATCTAATACGAAAATTATATTATTTACATAGGGTCATTTTGTTTGAATGAATGAATTATACCGCGCTGACAAGTCTTGTTCTTTGGTCGGTATTGTATTACTTATTTTATTTTTTTTTATACAGGGTCTCCCAGAAATAAGTGCAAGTATTTTAACTGGTAGTATAGTTCAACCCCAGAAAAACGCCTATGAGGTTTTTTGCAAAAAAAAAATTGAAAATTCGAAATTATATAGTTTTTAGTTAAAAAATATAATTTCTTGATAATTATGGCAACATCGGTATTAGATTACATTTACAATAAAGAAAATCCAAAAAAGATCCAGTGGTTCTTAAAATTTTAGCAAATAATCATTTTTTTGAAAATTTTCATAGTAAAATAACTCCGTTATTTTGGATTTATTTGAAAAACTATAGAGAGAAAATATGTTTCTTTTATCGAGATCTACCACCACTTAAAATACTTGAACTTATTTCTGGGACACCCTGTATAATTCCGACATGAATACTCTTGTAGCTCCGATTCCACAAGACGTCATGCGGATGGCCATATGTAAACTTTCACTCCGTGCGTCCGCTCGGTCAGTGATCGTCAGCCAAACTTGTCTGCCTCAAAAGTCTTAGGAATCCGATGATAACAGCTTTCTGCATGTTGGTGGCCAGATTTTCGGATACAGTTTGGTATTCTCTGTCGTTCCGTTATTAAAGTATCTTTTATTCCACCCAAAACGCCGATAATTAACACTACAAGATGCACGCCACATTCAGGATAAAATCTGCGTAACTTTCCCAGTAGCTGTTGGTATTTGGTTTTCTTCTCTCTATTTTTGATCTCAATTTTTTTGAGTTTCTGCTGGGGCGGAAAATTCTATAACGTGTATGGTTAGGTTAGTATAATTGCACTGTTTGTCTAACAGGACTATGTCAGGTTTGTTAGCTTGAATGCGTGCGTGGTATGTTGGGAAATGCGTAATTCCAATATATTAGGTAGTTGCCATTCTCCATCGCCGCTTCAGTGTCATCCGAAGCAAACGGCGGTATCGCCATCTCATCAATACCGTATCGGTGCCGTAGATGGTAGAATAGAACACGTAACGCTGCGTTGTGCCGTTGGATGTAGGTGGTGGCAGCGTGTACGGGGCAAGCAGACAATAGATGCATCAGGGTCTCAGAGGTTGTCCCGAGGGGTGTCTCACTATTGGAATTACCTGTACATTTTCTTGGCAGTCGCTGGCAGTCATTGGCATTCTTATGGCAGTCGCCTATAATAATTACATGGCAGTCATAGGCAGTCTTCTTCATAGTCATTGGCAGTCGCTTAGCAGTGGAAGGATATTTTGGCAGTACGTGTACATTTTTTACCCGAGTGAGACACCCCTTGGGTTGTCCACATGCTACGCAGAGAATTGGCTACGATAGACTAAGGTGTTAATCACACCATCCTGGCAGGCAAACAAGAATCTTTCGGTTTCAGACTTAAAACCAGCCGATCTCAAGAATGAAAATGTTTGTCTTTTAGATAGTTGAAGTGCTTCCATATTTCTGTAGAATATACCATATTGAGGTCTGTTGATATGATCATCTAAGAGCCTCCCTTGTTCTGCTATTATTATCATGGAATTAATGGCATGTAGTTGCAGCTTTGTGACAGATTCATCATCTCGTTCCATTGAAAATCTTAGCCCAAATCTATCTGCTGCTCGCTCTGCTGCTTTAAAAAGAAATGCTCCGATATTACACATCTCGTGATCTCGAACAAGGTGCAATGGATCTCTGCTGCCAGCGACTTTGCAACCCGTCCCTAAAACAAGCCGATTATGTAAGTAACTTAGCAAGCCTCGTCCTCCCTGATGACGTAGAAGGTATAAACGAGAAACAGAAGACCTTGGATGAATACTTCGGTTGAGGTGCTTCATATCATTTTATTTCACATAATCATATTACGTGTAATAATATCCAGATTTCGCAGTTGCCACATTTATAGGAGATACAGGTGCGCATTTCCCTGTCTATTGGAGTAGAATCACAGTCGAAAGACGCTTATTTCTAAAAGTTTTTTTCGGAAAGATAACTAGATAAGATCACACGATAACTAAATAAGATAATCACAATAAGTGCAATTCCAGGGCTGATAGATCTCGTTAAAAGAAACATTTTTTCTCTTTACCGTTTTTCAAATAGCGGATTTTTAATAATAACCGATTTTCTTCGTATAACCGAGTTATTTAAGTCTGAAAACTTAAAACAAAAAATTATTTATTTTTAAAAATATTTGAAAGCCTCCGGAATTTTTCTGTAATGGATTTCTTTTAGTGTCGTAACCATGGTAATATCAGTGATTGAGAAATTATACCGTGGGAAAATTTGCGGTGACCAGGCAGTTCTAAAAAATTTTCTAAAATATTCGGGCAAATTTAAAAGAAAATGCGCGATTTTTAACATATATTTGACGAAAAAAAACTCATAGACGTGTTGCTGGGGTGTAAATATACTACCCCTAAAATATTTGCCTTTATTTAAGACTCCCTGAATATATCAATACACTTAGAAACCAAAAATTAAATTTAGATTTCATCAGAAACTCTAAAATAAATATTGGCATATTTCCTCTCGTCTGGAACGAAATATTTGAATGAAATTTGTTCCGAATTTTGAGTAATGTCCAAAAACTTCGATGCAGCTATTTTCTCTTCGGCTTTTTCTTGTTTCCTTCTTGGGATTTGTTTCTAGTTCCAGCAGTCGATTCCAATAAATCTCTGGACCAAAAGCAACCGTAAATAAATGATTGTTTTAAGTCTGGAAAGTTCGAAAGTGGATTATTTCAATTCAACTCGAGGAGAAACACAACTATGAAATAAGTTCAATTTAACGAAAACCGAAATAATATTATGAAATTCTGGCTTATAAGAACAATTTCCTGTACCTATTACGAAAAATATGTTTTATTTTCAGTTTTAGAAATAATAGTATTTTTAGATAATGTGCGATGGCAATCTTCCATATAATTTTAAATAAAAATATGATGCCAATATCCAATTTCATGCTAAATCGAATGCCTTTTTTTGTCATGAATTTTATAAACATGCGTAACCTCTAATAAGAGTTTAGAGAGATACATTGATCTGGTTTTCACATTGCTACCTTACTTCTTTTTATTAAACTAATAATAGACGCTACACACAGATTTGTCTTAATCCTATTAGTTCTTGAAATACAGGGCGAAATGTTTTTTTTTACCCACTTCGTATCTAGTTTATCTTATAACTTATCGAAAGATGGGCACTGAGTCCCATTGATTTTTTTACGAAAAATTCAGTGGCATTTTTTTATTCTATTTGTATTGTTGTGTTATGCTGGTTATATAGTGGACTGTATATTTTAATAGTTTATTAATGTTAATATAAGATATAACAAATTGTTTTAATAAAACAAAGAAATGTAAATTCTTGCGGCTTGCCGGGCTCGTGGTAAGTGACAGGTCCCCTTCCGTCGGATTGCTGGACGTCAGGCGCAGAGATAAAAGGTCAAGATCGGTTGCAGCATTTAGATGGAGCGGGGGCAGCATTTAGATGGAACAAGTGCAGCATTTAGAAGTTTGAGCCCAAACAGTTGTGAGCTTTCTAAAACTATAATGTAATCTGTACTTATTTTTATAAAGAAGATAAAAACTCGCAAAAACAAAGCAGGGTAGTTAACTGACTTGATTTATTTTAAAATAGAGCTAAATAATCCATTTTCCGTAGAGTGTATTGTACAGTGTATATTTAGAAGGCTCATAACAAACCTATAAAATAAAAAAAATAATAAACAAGCTATTCCGTATAAAAATATAAATTTGGGTCATATTTCAAGAATAACAGTTCCCAACATAAATCTAGATACGCCACTGAATTTTACATGAAAACTCTATAGAACATTTAAAAAACGTAATAATTGAGTCACGTTTTAAAAATTATAGCTCCAAAGGAAAAACTACTTACACCGCTAAATTCTAAGTCTAAAATCATCGTAACTAAGTTTTCACTTTTCGAAAAGTTATAAGATAACTAAAATACGAAGAAGTGGAAAAATGCAACATTTTCAAATTTTTTCAGTATTTCAGGATCTAAGAAGGTTAAAAAATGGTACACATTTGTCTTAGCCGGTTTTATAAAAAAAAGTAGCACATTTATGTGAAAACTGTAAATCCGTGAAAAAAAAGAATAAAATGAAAACACTGTACGGATCAATTAAGACGTTGTTATGTACTGTAATACTGATATGACAAAAATTTAATACAACAAATATTCTGGTCTTCAATTTTTATACTATATTTCGATTAATTATATAATTATAATATTGCTGTATCTGATTCGCAATTCTTTCATAAAAAATGTTTTATTGTAATAATTGTATATTAAAGTTAAAAAATGAAACAAAATTAAACTGACCTTAATTCTGTCAGTTCCAAAAGCGTTTACATTTTTGTCGTGGTCGGAATATTTAATCAAAGTGTCACTTTAACAAAATAATTAATTGGTTAAAATAAATTTGCGGTAAATTTCATACAGATCTGCGGCAATGTGCGTGCGCCCACAATAACATGTCGAGCGTAATGCGTATGTGTGTTTATGTTAAAGGGCGCCCTGGCACATGTCAAAATATACAGAGACCCAGGCAGGGCCGCTGAACAGTGCAAAACGGAATTTCAGGTCAGTATTAAAATTTTATTTATTATTTTTATTGCAATTTACTTAATTTTATTTCTCAGTCCAAAATTTTATGAGATATTATATTTAGGTGGAAATCAAGTCATTCAATATAACTTATTACTTTGTTTTTTATGCAACTGGTATATTAAAGTTTTTTAGCATTTAATTTGGATACAAATTTGAATATTTGAAGTTACACCCAGGTGTAATTTTTTTCTAAAATAGTTTCTCCACTTTGTGGTACACAGGTGCCAGATTATTTTTTTACATTGAACACCTATCTATATTTTCTGAATTCAACATGAGTTTCTAAAGACGTATTCTAAAGATTTCGTATAGAGCGATAGAGACTGTACGATCGAAAAATGACGGCATCTAGTTGGCTTTAAAATGACAATCGACAGCATTCTAAGGATTTTTAATTCCAAGCTAACTTTGACGACGCCGATTTTTATTGGTCGTATGGTACCTAAGTTTAGCCGATTTTGAAATAATTCCTATTTTATGTTAATGGTTATATTTGTAGAGGGAAAGAAATACTGTTTAGCATTAGTACATTTTTTATCTTTTAGAAAATGTTTTTGTAAGGTTAATATCAATCTTACAAAAACCGAATACCTGAAAGTAGGAGAAGAACAAACTGAAGAGCCTGAGTTACACATACGCGAAATCGTAGAGCCAATTCTAACATATGGTGCCGAATGCTGTCAATTTACATCAAAAGAAAGAAGGATGGTCGATTCAGTGGAGGTAGACTTTCTCAGAAAAGCATGCCAAATATCGAGGATGGAGCACAACATTAGAAATATCAACCTTACAGACACCGAATAACTGAAAGTTGGAGAAGAACAAACTGAAGATCCGGAACTACACATACATGAAATAAAAAGGTTCAGAAAATACAATATTTAGGGAGTATCATATCTGAAGAAGGAAACTCCAAGAAACATATACATAGCCAGTGGCGTCGCCAGATATTTTTTTCAGGGTGGGCTAGCACTGGGACCAGGTTTTATTCGTGTGGGCCTGATAATTTACCATATCATAGTTGTTGATTATATTTTCTGGACATTGCGCGGGTGGGCCATTAGTGGGTCCAAGCTAATCCCGGGTAGGCCACGGCCCACCCTGCCCCCCCTCTGGCGATGCCACTGTACATAGCAGAGTTCAACAAGGCAAGAAAATAATCGGTCTTTTAAACCCTTGGTCAAGGAAAACATCCATCCAAACAAAGCTCAGGATTAACAAAGCTATCGTAAAGCAAATTCTAATATACAGTGCCGAATGCTGTCAATTTACATTAAAAGAAAGAAGGATGGTCGAGTCAGTGGAGATCGACTTTCTCAGAAGAGGAGCATTCAGCATTCAGCTCATTCAGCATTATTAAGAATGGAGCACATTAGAAATGAGGAGATCGGTGAAGAATAAAGCGGGTGTATAATAGCACCGACAACATTGAATCGAAACAGTTAGTATACTATGGGCACGTAAAACGAATGGGATAGGAAAGATGACCAAAAAGAGCAATGGAGTATTATCCCCAAAGTAGAAGAAAATTAGGGAAATCTACAACTGCATAGTTAGATGGAGTACACCAGTACATGAGAGATACGGCTATTAAGGTGGATGAATGGCAAAACCGACCGCTATGTAGATCAAAACAGAGAGTGCATAAAAATGTTACAAATTTTACAGTTTTAAAATTTAAGTTAATAAATTAAAAAGTTAGCAAAATTATAACATTAAGTTAAATAAGTTTTAAAAAGTTAGCAAAATTATAACATTGATTTTTTAAATAAAACACACACATTTTTTTTTAGTTTACTTATGGTAACAAATAAAGGTAACTTATAGTTATGTTAGTTTAAATATACCGGAAGTAATTTAGTTAGATTTATATCTAACTAAGTAACTTTCTAGTTAGTACTAACTTCCGGTTGAAAAAAAATAACATTATTTTTGTCAATATTGTTCTTGGCTGTATCATATTATAGATGGACATAAAGGAATACATCTATATTTGTGACGGAAAATAAACAAAAATGAAGGAAAATTATTTTTTATAAGCATATTTCTATTATATTCGTTTTATTAAATACGTAACGTAATTTTGTAACAATTTTTGTCATAAAATGGAAATTACTTGATAAACGGTTAAACATAGGTACACAAAATGTGTTCAGAAACTATTGAAAAATAAAAAACATAGATTCGAATTCATAGACCATTAGAAGAATAATAGAATTACTTAAAATAAATAAAACAAATCATACCGTATGATCTAAAACGCAAATTCGAGACGGCTGTGGAATGATAATCAATGATAATTTTGGTGATGCCAGTCTCTAACGTCGTTTACTAAAAATTGCTATAAAATTTGTAAAAATTAACAATAATTATATAGAGATTAAAAAAGGATAGAACGTTTCCAGACACATTAAATATATTTCCAAAAAAATATATTTTTTCGATAACCAATCTACACCATTAAATTCCAACAGCGTGGAATTAATTTCTATATTAGCAGTTCAAGGCAAGAAATAAGAAACACGGCAAGAAAGCTCTTATATAATTTCATTATATACCTAAAAACTGCAAGAAATGTATTTTCCATTATATATTTTGGGCTAGCCGAAAAAAGCCTTTATTTACTATCGATTGTTGTGCGTCGGTGGTACGAAACTACTACCATTGCACGCAGGCCGCTATCTCGCGATGCGGAACTTAACATCTTACCGCTACTTTACGACAAGTCGTATTGATATACTCTGCGCTGTGCTCGTAATTTTGTGGAAACGACCCAAGCTCACCTAATGATAGGGTAGGGCCTCGAAACCGGTAGTGAGAGCAGGTTGATCCACATTATGACGAGCACAGCGCGGAATTAATTTCTATATTAGCAGTTCAAGGCAAGAAACTCTTATACAATTTTATTATATACCTAAAAACTGCAAGAAATTTATTTTTGATTATACAGGGTGGTCCGAAGTGTGTTCCGGAAACTTTGGTAGTATGTTCTGCAGATAAAAATGAGTAAAAAAGTTCGTATAAATGTATGTCGTAAAATGCTTAGCTGCGGAGATACAGGGTATATAAGTTTTATTTTTATTTCGATTTTTTCCAAATAATTTCTGGGAGTTTTTTGACATGTAAAATTTGATTTTGACGTTAATATGACTTCGACTTGTAGACTTGCCACCCACATATTTTTTAACTGGTTTGAAGAGTAATAATTTTTTGTCCGTACCTGTATAAAACTACTGAGTAAAAAATATACATTTACGAGGTTTTTTGCGTAAAAAAAGTATCTTGGTAAAAATCGCTACGAGTAATGGTTCCCGAGATATTTGGAATCGAAATAATCAATACCTGTCATCATTGACATAAATTAAAGATGTTGACTAAATAGTTATTAGACTGAAATCATAAATTTGAAATGTTTTTGTACCAAAATTTCAACAAAAATTGTTTTATCATCATTTTTTCGAAGAGAAATTTATTATTAATTTAAAAAAAAATAAAAAGTTTCCAAATTTATCATTTCAGTCAAATAACTATCTACTCAGCATGTTTATTTTTTGTCAATAATGACATGATTGACTATATCCATTCTAAATATCTTGAGAACAGTTGCTCGTAACGATTTTTATAAAGAGATATTTTTTACGTAAAAAATCACGGAAATGTATATTTTCTCACTCGGTAGTTTTATACAGGTACGGGCGAAAAGTTATAACTCATCAAAACAGTTAAAACACATGTAGGTGGCGCCCCCTACAAATAGGAGTCATATTGACATCAAAATCAAATTTCTCATGTCAAAAAACTCCCAGACACCAATTTTCATCCAAATATTCACGTTACTTCAGGAATTCTTTGGAAAAAAATCGAAACAAATATGAAACTTTTACATCCTGTATCTCCGAAACTAGGCATTTTAGGACATACATTTATAAGAACTTTTTTACTTATCTTCATCTGCAGAATATGCTGCCGAAGTTTCAGGAATACAGTTTGGACCACCCTGTATATAAAAATAAATTACAACTTTCTTGTGAAACTGACAGAAACCGCAATTAAAATATAGAGGAGAAGACTACGGGCCAAGTAAGTGACGTTTAAGGCTTGACCTCGCCAACATTATCCTCAGTTGTCATTCCCAGCCACCTTTGACGCCGTTTTTTTCCGATCGTATGGTACATAAAATATATTATAACTTTCACAGTTAACTAAATTATTTTTATTTTCTCTTTACGCTTTATGAGTTAACGTTACCAACACTTTATGAAAAACATTTATCTTTGAATTAATATAGCAAAAATTGCCGTAGCAAGCGATAAATTTTTGTTATTTTTTGCAATCTTTTGGCGATGAAACTTCATTTGTCTCGGTCGCTTTTTTTTTCGACGGGCCAAAATGATTTTCCGCTATTTTTTTTTCGTGTTACTAAATTGTAATCCGTATTTGATGGGGCCCGTAACATCGAAAATTGTTATAATGGACATTTTTGTGCTTTCGTTGTCGGATTTATCCCGGTGGGTTTCATAAAAAATGTACCAAATTAAATGAGACGATGCAAAAATATCCGCTCTGGATATTACACGGTTTAATATGAATTTATGGGGATTTGCTTTAGAGTTTAATCGGTAGTTTATTATTTTTTGTTTTTCAATATTTTTGGTTTACTTACTTTAACATTATCAAAGTTAAACTATTTTTATTTAGTATAACAAGTTTTATTTCATATTATTAAAACTAAAATTAATTTAATATTTAAATTTGTTTTAGTTTTTCTTAAATTTTTTGCACAAGTATTTTTTTACTCTAATCTCAATCACAAGATATATTTATTTTTTATATATTATATATAGTATAAATATTATAGAGTTCAGTATAAAATTGCTATATATCCCTTTATTTCATTCAGTGTTTATTTTTTACTTTTGGATTTTTTGTTTTATTTGTTTAGTTTTGTTTAATTTATATGTTTTAGTTATTAGTAACGTAGTTTAGTATATGTTTTTCTTTTTTTATTAGGATGTAGTGTTCAGTGATGAGGAAATCAAAAATTACTTAGAAAGAAACGTAAGCTCTCTTTAAAATTGTTTAACACAAATAGTAGACAGGATGTTCCTTAATGACATGTTGATATTTATAATCTATTGCATGCTGATATTTTGTAGAAATTTTGACATATTCTAAGAAAAAATTTGATATGAATAATATTTAAATGTCCTAAACATCTTAACTTTTGAGACATAGGGTGGTGAAACTTTCTAAAAAAATTTTCATAATATCACTCATGTTTTAATAAATATCTTTATTAGTCTTGATACTTGTTTTTTATGCATCAAAATGCCTGTTTTCATATACAATTTTTGTTTGTTTGTTTCAGCCAGTCTCGTCCGTACGGGTTTTATATTATTTTAAGTTTGGGGAATTGTTTATATTGGAGAAAAAAATGGTACGCCGGTTGGTCATCTCTTATAATAAACATTATTTTCAAAGTCTTCATTCATCTCCTAAACAATTTTATTAATATATTTTTTGCACCCAAAGCAAAGTTTTTGAAAAAAAAAATAAAGTTATTTTACCTCAGGGTCAAATCTCTTAAAATCTGATGCTCGGTGACTCTCGTTTGCAAATTGGTAGTCAACTGGAAGGAGATTAAGAAATGCAGGCAAACATTTTTTGTACATCATAAAAAGCATTTTGATGCATAAAGAACTTATATCATATTTTATAAAGGTATCAATTGTAACATCGGAGTTATTATAAATAAATGTTTTTTTTTAATATTTTACCACCGTGTATCTAAAAAGTGTATTATGTGCATCTTTTTTTTAATATTGATCTAATAAACAATTCATTAAATATTAGCATATCATTAAGGAACAACCTGTGTATTTAACTGATTTTTTAAACATATTTATATCCTTATCTACAGTATGTCCCCGGATTGTTTTTGATTTTAAGAAAAATGCATTCTCTCATAAAATTTTTTGCTTGTTCTTTAATTGTTAATTCCGTTTCTACTTTTCCAAATTTCCATACCGTTTTAGAGAAAATAAAAAAAAATACTAATAGAAGGAAATCTTAAAATATTAGAACTCGTTTCTATGGTAATAAAATTTTATTTTCATTCTTTAATAGATTGTTATTGATAGAAGAATTTTAATTAAAGTCATATTTTTGCGGTTTTAAAATATTACAGGAACACAAAATTTAGTTAACTCAATGCTACGGAAAGGGTGATAATAGTTATTAGAAAACATCATACTTTAACAACGCCAAAAAATATGACGTTAATCAAAATTAATAATAACCATCTATCAAAGAATGAAGTGGAAATTAAATTACCATAGAAACGCCTATTGACTTTTAAGATTTTTAGGAAATTCAACCATAGTTTCGTGTTTCTTTAATCTACTCTAAAATGGTATAAAAATTTGGAATAAATAAACGGAGTTGACCATTATAGAACAAGCAAATATTTTTATGAAGGATGCATTTTTCCAAAATGTCAATAATAAAAATTTATTTTTCTCTTGTAAAGACAATCCGGGGACACACTGTATATATCATACGATCATATATTAGTAAGATAATATAAAAATACTGTGTCCAAGATCAGCATGGATAGAAGGATATTTTCAGCCTATAAGACAAAATAAGCTAGTTAAATGAAAAATACGTAATTTAAAACACAAACGTAGATGTTCAGCTAGTATTATTTTTAGCATATATATTTTTCTAGATAAACACCAGAAAGAGATAATTAAAAATATTAAAAGGTACATAGAAATAGGACGACATTAACAGATTAATAAGATAAATTAATGTAAGTAATTTAATTATAGAATATTTAATATTTATTTTTAATTTTATATACCAAAGTTTTCTGTTATATAAACTATAAAAACTTTGACATATAAAGGGTGCTACAAATAAGAGGTATGAGCATTGGTTAGGTAGGAGCATTGGTTTTGTTAGCAAATTCGAGGTAGGAGCATTGGTTAATCTCTGTAACCGTTATAGATCCGAACACGGTTAAATTTGGGCAAAGTTGCACTTTGGCATACCACCAAGATAACAATCAGATTCGGTAATTTATAAAACGAGAATCGGACATGAAATTATTTTAAATAATAATTAAATAGTTTTGTTGTTGTTATGGTACCCAAAACAAAAAAAATATATACAGGGTTGTTCACCACATACGACACGGAATATTGTAGCTAAACGATTAGATTTTTACAAATTGTAAGTTCTGGGTTCGCTGAAGGACTATTAGAGCTACAATTTAAAAATAATTTTACAAGATACAGAGTGTCCCAAATAAATAAAAAATATCAAAGTTATATTTTTTTAAATGGAGCACACTATATATTATTGCATTTTTAGTTTCTACGATTAAAATAAAGGTAAATTTGATTAAGGTTTATTACACTTAAACCTTACCGTTTTTGAAATATTTTCAATTTTGTAAAATTGCAGTATAAATTTTAAGGCTTCATTTCTTCGAGGATATCAAAGTTTTGATACTAAATAGTTACTGAAGTTTATTTATTGAACAGTTATTGTGTTGCAATAATAAAAATTTTATTACCTTATACAGAGTGTCTAAATATTTATTTTAAATAATTATTAGCTTTAAACGGCAATAATTTGTTTAATTTAAATAGAACACCCTGTATATTTTATGAGAATCAGATGCACAATTTAATTGTCTATCAAATTGTGGTATAATACAATTTGATAGACAATTAAATTGTGCATCTTTGCATTTTTTACCTATCTCTTCAAGCCTCCGTAGAAAATGCATTTTCTTGTAATTTAGAACTCATTTATCAGTATACCCATGGAATACTGACATTTTAGATTATTTTTAAAGATGTACCAAATTTTTAAAGAGTACAGATACTAATATTGTCAATATAGTTCGTTTATTTCATTAAAAAAATTAAAAAAAAAACTGTTTATATATTTGTTGAAGAGGACCAATTAATATGATTCCAATATTCAAACTACATTAATTGACTGTTTGCGTTGATTAATAATAATTGCTCCAAATACTAAAAAACTGAATTATTTATGTGTATTAGACAGTGTAGTAAAAAAACTAACACCTTAAAAATTGTATTTAATTTTTTGACAAATGCTTATTTATAACTACAGAGACGTTCATTTTCATAACTTATTATTATATTGATTTCTGATTCAAATCCACATTTATTTAGAATAATTTATTAATTTAGTATTTGGGCGGAAATACTGGTGGTATATTTAATTAATGGTATACTCTTTTATAAAGATTTAAATAGTTTTCTTTTTGCATACAAATGGGCTAGTAATATCATCGTTTTACTAAAAACGATTATATTACTAGCCTGTACATTTTGTGCATTTGTTGTTTTAAAAACAATCTAAAATATCAATATTCCATGGGTATATTGATAAATGAGGTCTAAATTATAAGAAAATGCATTTTCTACGAAAACTTGAAGGGATAGGTAAAAGGTGGTATAATACAATTTGATAGACAATTAAATTATACATATGATTCTCATAAAATATACAGGGTATTCCATTTAAATTAAACAAGTTATTGCCGTTTCAAGCTAATAATTAGTTAAAATAATTTTTTAGACACTCTGTATAAGGTAGTATAATTTTTATTATTGCAACACAATAACTGATCAATAAATAAACTTCAGTAAATATTTAGTATTAAAAACTTTGATAGCCTCGGAGAAATGAAGCCTTAAAATTTATACTGCAATTTTAAAAAATTGAAAATATTTCATAAACGGTAAGGTTTAAGTGTAACAAACCTTAATCAAATTTACCTTTATTTTAATCGTAGAAACTAAAAATGCAATAATATACAGGGTGTTCCATTTAAAAAAATACAACTTTGATATTTTTTATTTATTTGGGACACTCTGTATCTTGTAAAAATATTTTTAAATTGTAGCTCTAATAGTCCTTCAACGAACCCAAAACTTACAATTTGTAAAAATCTAATCGTTTAGCTACAATACTCCGTGTCGTATGTGGTGAACAACCCTGTATACAGTGTGGCATATCATTGTATTTTGGTGAATATCCCAAGGCGGCAACTTGGCCCCAATGTAACCATCTTTGTATATATTACGGTTTCCAAGACACCAAAGCTCGTACCTCGAATTTGTAGCACCCTATAAACAATAATTTATAATTTTATCTAACCTCAAAGCTCTATTCAACGATCCATGGTCACTGCTATCAATCTAGAACAAAAAAAAAATATAATCTATTAAGTTCACATGCACTATAATAATATATGATTGTTTACACATTTATTCTTTTTACTTTTAAGTTTCAATGCATTTAATTTTTTTCTTGTACTATTTAATTTTGTTGTGTTTATTTTTACTTTATGTTTAGGATATTGAACATGACTATGAGGACGATATTAGTAATGATATAGTTGACAATGTGAGTAAACATATCTTTTGAGGTTTGTTACTAACATCACTAACAAAGGGATCATTACTAACAAATTACAAATTTATTTAAATTGTTATATATTTTTTATTATTTTAATGAAAATTTTACTCTTTTTTTAACTTTTAATGAAAAACTTACTCACAAAAATCGGTTCCTATATTATTCGGTTACTGAAATCTAACGTATTGAAACACAATGGAGGCGCGATATTTTCAAGTGTGTTGATAAAAAGCTTAAAGCTGCTTCCTGTTTTTTAAAACAGAAAAATGCTAAACGCGTTTATTCTGAATTCCGGTCCTATCCATGACAATAAAAGCTCAGTTCAGGTGAACTTCCCCTGATAAATACTCGTTGAAAAAATCCATTCAAATATACTGCGAAAAAATTCCGGAATGTAATGAGAATTTTTTATGAGGAGATTTTCAATTCAATTCGCAAGAGATTGACATTTCAGGATCGAGTTTGCTGTAATTTTATAATAAATATATTTACGTTAGTCTCCACCTTCGTATAGTATATACGAAGTATAGTATATACGAAGTATAGTATATACGAAGTATAGTATATACGAAGTATAGTATATACGAAGTATAGTATATACGAAGTATAGTATATACGAAGTATAGTATATACGAAGTATAGTATATACGAAGTATAGTATATACGAAGTATAGTCTCCATCTTCGTATAAAATTTGAGCTAAAGATGACTTGATTTAGTAATATTTTATCGTAGAAACAAGTTTTCATGTTAAATTCATATAAAATAATGAAAACTAATAATACGTTTATTTAGATTAAAATTGAATGTATGTAATGGTTTATTAACATTTTAAAACCCAATTTAATTTGCATATTTTCATGAAATTAAAAAACTATTTCTAAAATCATAATTACTCATAATACGATTCACACTTTATTTTTTTAATGCTCATCATTCTTCTTCATTGTTTCTGTAGATTGCCCATACACTACGTGCATGACAATTACATTTAGCACGTTTTAACTAACAATTAAAATCAACAAATATATTCATAAAAATTTTTACAGATTTTGTTTTTTAATAATTTAATTTTTTTAATTCCAAAAAAAGTAACATATTCGTAAATTAATATATCAAAACTATCAAAAAGAGGAAACTTATGCCGGATTTATTTTTTATGTTAGATAAACTAATGGAGATGATGAAAAATTAATACTTTTGCAAAAAACTTAAAATAAAATAAAAATAATTTATAAAATAGAACTAAAAATGAAAGATAGTTTTTACTTATTAAAATATTATCTAACAATCATAAAAAGTCAACAACTGGATGAAAATTAAGTAATATTCAGATAGTTAAAAATAACAGGAAAATGATGATCAAAAATTTTATAAAAAAAAGCATGGATTGCTATGTTATATAGGGTGGTCCGAACTGTATTCCGGAAATGCATGTCCTAAAATGCTAACTGTCGGAGATACAGGGTGTAGAATTTTTTCCAAATAATTTTTGAAGTAACCTCAATATTTCGATGAAAATTGGTGTCTGGGAGTTTTTTAACATGAGAAATTTGATTTTGTCAATTGTCAATAAGACTCCTATGTGTAGGGGGCGCCACCTACATGTGTTTTTACTGTTATGAAGAGTAATAACTTTTCGTCCGTACCTGTATAAAACTACTGAGTGAAAAAATATACATTTCCGTGACTTTTTACGTAAAAAATGTATCTTGGTAAAAATTGCTACGAGCAACCGTTCTCAAGATATTTAGAATGGAAATAATCAATAATAAATTTGGGAATTTTTTATTTTTTTATATTAATCACAATTTTTTTCTGCGAAAAAATTATGATAAAATAGTTTAACTTTTGGCACAAAAACATTTTAAATTTATGATTTCAGTCTAATAACTGTTTAGTCAACATGTTTAATCTATGTCAACGATGATAGGTATTGATAATTTCGATTCTAAATATCTCCAGAATCATTACTCGTAGCGATTTTTATCAAGAGACCTTTCCTTTTTTTTCTCATGCATTTTGCATTTTTTGTGTCATTACGCTATTATTTTAGACTCTCGGAAATTTGTTTAATATTTGCGAATTATTGATATACAGGGTGGTCCAAATTGTTTTCAGGATATTTCGGCAGCATATTCTGCAAACAAAAATAAGTAAAATAGTTCTTATTAGAGGGAGGTTTGGTACAATAATACAGGGGTATCGCAATGGGCTCAAAACCTCCGAGTGAGGGATCAAACATGACGGATGAAACCCCAGTAACCTAATCTAACCTAATCGTTTTTGAGATATTTGGAATACGAAATAATCAAGTACGAGTCATATTGACATTGAAGTCAAATGTCTCATGTCAAAAAACTCCTGAACACCAATTTTTATCCAAATATTTACATTAGTTCAAAAATTATTTGGAAAAAATCGAAATAAAAATGAAACTTCTATATCCTGATATGAAATGTTTATTTATTTTTATGTGCAGAATATGCTGCTGAAGTTTCCCGAATACAATTTGGACCTCCCTGTATAATTATCAATTGAACTATCGAATCACTATTTTCACTCTTTACTTTGATCTAGTATTATTTATTTTTTTTTGAACTGTTATTTATTAAATATATACTAATAAGGTAATGAATAAAGTAACTGCAATAACTCAAGTGATCAACACTTTAGGAGGTATCGGCAACACCAACTAACCCTATTAGTAAATCATATACGAACTTTCAGCTTCTTAAAATTCCCTGTTTTCATTCGATAACTTTATTTTTACCGATAATAACCCTTCGATTGCGAGATATCCATCATTTAATTAGATAAAATGGAACAACTTTAACCCCGATATAAAACTCGACAAAAAGTCAAGCGACCAACATCGACTAACCCTGTTACTAAATCATGTATGAACCTCATCTTGCAGCTTCTTAAAATTTCATATTTTTTCAGGTCGAACGAACGGATTATCCGCCCTTTCGAGAGGAGGACAGCGACGGTTTAGGGGTGTTTCCACCCCCGCCCCCACCCCCGGACGGTAAGAACTGCTTCTGTGGTACTAAAGAAAACTGTTGTAATTTTATTTTTGACGATCGACCAGCTGCGGGAAGATACCGAGGAGAGAAAGGAGAGAGAGGACCAAAAGTAAGTTGATTTATTTGAAATTTATGTTTTATGCTAGGGATATAATATGTTCTTATAGATAATTCGAGTGATTACTATATTTATTGCAACGACACCGACGTCTCGCATTCTTGCTGATAAAATATTAAAAAATACTGCTATCCCCTCTGGTTGAAAATAATTTTGGTTAACCTTTGAATGAATAATTATATTAACTTCTAACACAAGTTTGTATGAATTTTTGATATCGGTAATTACAGTTTTGTGAATCGGTGATTATGGTCTGAATGATTATGAATCAATGGTCGGAATTACAAGCGGTGATTTAAATTTAGTTTAGATCAATACCAACTGATTTATAAGTATATAATAACAAAACATTTGTAAAAATATAGCGATAACAAACCATCTGTTACAAAGACACAAGCTGCGTTAGTTTAAATACGAAATTTGTTACAGTATTAAATATTGAGTTTGAAGCAAAATAAACTATTTTGTATTCTTCATTTCAACCATTTGATAATATAGGATGTCCCAGAAATAAGTGCAGATATTTTAATGGGTGGTAGATCTGGTCAAAAAACATCTTTTCTCTTTACTGTTTTGAGAAAATAAATTGAAAATAACCCAGTAGGTAATTTTACTTTACAGAAAATTTAAAAATATAATAGTAATATTTTAAGAACCGCTGGCGATAGCTGGGTATTAAGAGCTCAAACGCACTCACGATCAGTTCGCAACGACCAGCATTTGATTAAATGGTATTACTGGTCGAAGTTTGGTAGAAGTATTTTCCCGGAAAATGGTCAAGGAAAATATAAAATTTTTAACAATTTTCTTTCTCATATAGGTGTTTCTGGGGCCGAAACATACTATCAGTTAAAATATTTGCACTTATTTCTGGGACACCCGTATATTTATATGTAAATGGTTTGTATAGTAGGTGCTTATAGTAATGGCTTCGTAATTAGGATATATATTGCCATATTATTTCTTACTGCTTCACTAGTAAAACTATGGCAAAATTGTGTATACTGACATCAAAATTTTATGAGATGATAAAGACAAAATATCCTTTTCAGTTCTGCGGTAATAAACAAATCTACAATTTTTGAAAAATTTGGCAACGTCCCAATTTGGGACGTTGCCAAATCTAATAATCAACCAACATAACATAACTACATAAAAACATAATCTAACCAAATCCTAACCAACCTAACCAAACCAAATAAAGCCAAATTTTTAAGTAATTAGTGAATGCTTAATTGTGATTAATAATTAACTTTTTGGTTTACGATAAAAAAGTAGACAAGATCTGCCCTAAGTCGGATTTTTATAATTTAAAATTTTGTCATTAATTTAAATATTGCAAAATAAAAACACTAAATCACCACAATACACCAAAACACTTTTTTTCATTTAGCCAAACCAAACCAAAGGTTCCAACCCTCAACTGTAATTTAAATATTGTTACATATTATATTCCCTGTTTACCAAATAGCTCTAGCATAGAAAGCTGCTACTATACAATCTATTTTTGAGTATACTACAGCAAACAAATTTGATGGGGAAATTCACCAGGGCAGACACAGACACAAAAAAGTTCATAATAGGACATTCGCTAAAATTTACGGCAGAATTGATAAGCAAACATAGAAAAACTACCAAAGCTGTGGTGGGTCTACTAACAGAGAATTGTAAGCTTAATATGCATCTAAAGCTAATGGGACTGATTATCAATCTGAAAAGGAAACGACAGGGCACAGTTTATGTCAGTACCACAGCCTGGTAAATATGCTGTTCTTTGTATTAGGCAATTATAGACCAATGGCAAAAAGCTATTCTGTCTCCAATTTGTTAGACTTTTTAAAAGGTATAGGCATATAGGACTGGAGAATGTAACCTAGATATCAGAAGGGGGCCACGATAGATCTGAAAAGGTCACAATGGAACATGTCCAGAGTCAGCTCTAAAATCTGATATAATCTACGTATTTTTGGGATCAAAACAAGTTTTGAACACAATTTATCCCTATACAAAAAGTGCTTTGTTTGTCCGTTAATGGTCATTAAACTTTAAAAAAAAATACATATTTTTTTAAGATATTTTAAGAACCGTTATTTCAATTTAAATGACATTGGGTGTACACTTTTTTTACTTAACATTTGACTTTTACAAAAATTAAGAAAAAGTACGGGAAGGGTGCATTAAATCTAGTATGTGCTAATAATCTAGTTGGTGAAAATATTCCCACCCCAAAATGTATTTTAGTATAAGTATTTTCCAATTACACCGGCGACTATTTTTTTTTATAAAACGGTCCTCCTAGTATTTACTATATTTTTTGTCACTTGTAAAAAACCACCACATCCCATATTTCAATGCTGACCTACAAAATACACAGGGAATTTCATTACAACTACGTATTTTTTGAATCAAAATAAGTTAATTGCACACAATTTATCTCTATACAAAAGTACTTCGTATGTTTGTTGGGGGGCATCAATAAAAAATTAACCGGAGCGTTAATTAATTTAAAATTTATGAAACTAGTCGTCTATTAGTTATGAGCCGTCTGGCTTGACGACGCTCATTTCGCGAAGTAATAAGGAATGCGGCTGAGTTTATAATTACATCCTCGTTGTTCCACATGTTGATAAACACTAAATACACTTTCGCTCCTTAGTTGAAAAATGAAGTCGAGCAACAATATTTCTTTGGTAGGTACGATCTACATTTCTCGACAATATTTACGAAAATAGTAACAAAAGTTGATAACAATGTCGTCGACTGTCTGTCAAATATCAGCTGAGATACTAACATAAAATTCCATATTTTCGCCAACTAAATTATATTAGCGCATACTAGATTTAATGCACCCTTTCCGCACTTTTTTTTAATTTCTGTGAAAGTCAAACGTAAAAGCACCTATCCAAACATAGGTACACCCAGTCTCATTTAAATTGAAATAATCCTTAATAAATTAAATCCTTAAAATATCTTAAAAAATTGTTTTTTTAAGTTTAACGGACAAATGAAGCACTTTTGTATAGAGGTAAATTAGGTTCAATGAACTTATTTTGATTATGAAAATACGTAGTAGTTCTATGTCCGCGGAATATTGGCATACCCTTTGTATAACAGCAAGGCGGAATATGAAATTTATTTCAGGCAATAGAACCTTCATATCGAACGATAACATACTCAGGTCATTCAACAAAGTTTAAGAGGAAAAAAAATTGACGATACGTAATATTGGGACACCCTGTATGAATCCATTTTTTAAATATTTCATATATCCAGAAACTTCAAAATATCGTTTTACCTGACACTCTTTATGCTATACTCTATTTACTTTATTCAACTCACTCGCAGAGTCATGTATGTGGATATAACACAAACCCAAACAAATACCGTCTCTGTTTATATTTGTACCGACTCGAGACAAAAGAGCAGTCGCTAAAACATTATTCAAGCAGAAAAACTCGTTTTGCCTTTAGTTAGTTCGAATTGAATATTAAATTATACTTGTTCGTGCATGTGTAGGTACGTTGAAGTATTTCTTTGGACCTTTTTGGAATGCCAGTCAGATGACAAGGGACTGACACTTGTGAACGGTGGATTATATGGCAGACAACACTCTCGTGTGGATAAAGAGGCCATTGTGTTATTTTTAGCGAATATCGTAATTAAATAACCGGGGCCATTTAATATAATAATTATCTTTGAAGACTGAGAAAGGCACACTGTAGCATTTACAGAGAAATTTTATATTTTTTGATGTTAAAAATAGAGATATTCTAATTTATTATCATCTTAGACAGACCCTTCTGTACAAAACGAAAATATCAAGAAATACAAATCAAAAACAGGCGAGATTGTGAATTTATCAAAAAATATATATGTTACAGTAAAAGTTGGAAATCAGTGATTGCTAACAATTACTAGTAAAAGCTCACATTCGCTGATTTGCTAAGACTACGCCAGTGAAAGTTCAACAGCTATTTTTGAAACCAACTTTTTGTAGTGAATGCTATCATTCTCTGGACGATAGCAGTGAGTTTGAAAGATTCAGTTAGCACGGTTGCCACATCTTGTACAAAATAAGAATATAAGTTGAATAATAGGCAATATAACGATTACATTAAATTGGCTAAACGTTGGCAACGTTGACAGACATCTTGTTTTTTGTGGTTATGTATAATTGTTTTGTTATCGTTATAAAAAGTGATGCTATGTGATATTTTCCCGATGGAAGAAATTTTCTGTGAAAAATTAATGTAAACTAGGCACTCGCAAGAATGTAATAGTGCAAAAAGTCATTACAAAAGTTAAGCGTGCAAGAGAAAAAGATAGTAAGAAACCTAGTGACCAGCTAGTGACTATGAACTTATTAAACGTTTGCTTGAAGCATGATATGCTTGAAGAAGCGGGTTTGAAAAAACAAATAACTCCCGTTGAAGAAAATTCGGGCATATGGTCCACGGTGAAGAACTTTATGAATGTTTTTAATTGTTTTGTATGCTTTAAAATGTTTCCCTTTTAATATTTAGAAGGTTATGTCGTTATTTTCTATATTTTTTAATAAATATACTAAAAAAGTAATTTGTAATTTTAAGATATGTCGATCAGCTTGAATATTAAGCTTGAATATTAAGGTGACCCAATATTTTTAAGTTTTGTTTGTTCTAACTTCCACCAACATTCTTCCTCGCCCCACTTACCCTGTACAATAGAATAACTTTTACTGATAACCTTTAGCAAATGTTACTTTCACTAGTGAATGTGAGAAATTACTAGGATAAGTCGACAAATCTCTTTAAAATACCATATTCACTGGTCCAATGCGTAATTGCTAGCATTTCCGAGTGAATGTTAACAATCACTGAATTTCCGACTTTCACTGTAACATATATAATACAAAATATACTAAAGAGGATCGTATATGATTAATAGGTAATATATATTCACAGCATTTCGTTCAATTAATATTTATACATTTACAGACTTTTATCTGTTGA